CTCTTTCCTCCCGGTGCCCCGGGCAAGCCCCGCCGTGCCCGCCCCGTTCCCGCTCTGTTCTCCCGGTGCCCAGTGCCCTCCCCACTCCCCCCGGAGCCTCGGACCAGCCCTGCCGTGTCCTTCCCGTTCCCCCCGGTGCCCGGGCCGGCCCCGCTCCCCTCCGTGCCCCGTGCCCTCCCAGCTCCTCCCGGTGCCCCGTGCTCACCCCGGCGTGCCCGTCCAGCCCCGCTCCGTTCCCCCGGTGCCCCGTTCCCGCTCCCCCGGTGCCCCGGGCCGGTCTCGTCCCGCTCCGCTCTTCTCGGTGCCCCGTTCCCGCTCCCCCGGTGCTCCATGCCCGCTCCGTTCCCCCCGGTGCACGGAGCCAACCTCTTTCCTCCTGGTGCCCCGGGCCAGCCCCGCCGTGCTCGCCCCGTTCGCGCTCTGTTCTCCCGGTGCCCCGTGCCCGTCCCGCTCCTTCCGATGCCCCGGGCCCTCCCCGTTGCCCCCGGTGCACCGGGCCAGCCCCGCCGTGCCTTCCCCGCTCTCCTCCGGTGCCCCGTTCCGGTCCCGTTCCCCCCGGTGCCCCGTGTTCGCCCCGTCGTGCCCGTCCAGCCCCGCTCCGCTCTTCCCGGTGCTCCGTGCCCGCTCCGTTGCCCCCGGTGCACCGGGCCAACCTCTTTCCTCCCGGTCTTCCCGGTGCCCCGGGCCGGTCCCGCCGTGCCTTCCTCGTTTCCCCCGGTGCCCCGTGCCCTCCCCCTCTCCACTCCCTCCGGTGCCCCGGGCCAGCCCCGCCGTGCTCGCCCCGTTCCCGCTCTGTTCTCCCGGTGCCCCGTGCCCGTCCCGCTCCTCCCGGTGCCCCGGGCCAGACCTGCCGTTCTCGCCCCGTTCCCGCTCTGCTTTCCCGGTGCCCCGGGCCGGTCCCGTCTCGCTCCGCTCCTCCCGGTGCCCCGTGCCCGTCCCGCTCCCCCCGGTGCCTCGGACAAGCCCCGCCATGCCCGGTCCGTTCCCCCCGGTGCCCCGCTTCTCGGTGCCCCGTACCCTCCCCGTTCCCCCGGTGCCCCGGGCCGGTCCCGTTCCCCTTTCCCCCGCCGCTCAAAGCTCCAGATGTGCCGCACGCCCCTTCCAGATGTGGCCGTGTCCCCTCCCTGCTCCGCCACCTTCACCTGTCACCTCCGGGAGTCCCGTCCCTTGGTGCCACCGTCCTGTCCCTTGGTGGCCCCGTCTTGTCCTCTGGTGGCCGCGTCCTGTCCCTGTCCCATCCCTGTCCCATCCCTGTCCCATCCCTGTCCCATCCCATCCCTGTCCCTGTCCCATCCCTGTCCCATCCCATCCCTGTCCCATCCCTGTCCCCATCTCTGTCCCTGTCCCTGTCCTGTCCC